ATGCCCCCAATGTCCCCAATGCCCCCGGTGTCCCCAATGTCCCCACCCTTGCCTTCCATCTCACACACACACACCCTGCTCCGGACCCAGGGGGATTGAAGGAGCTTCCTCCAGGCTGAGCTGTCCCAGCCCTTCTTGGGTGGGATCCTCCCAGCATCCCAGGAGCATTCCCGCACCCCCCACACCACAGGGATGCTCCTGGGACTGGATCCTGGGCAGGGGATTGCAGTCCAGCTGCAGAGAAGGACCAAACTCTGCTATGGGAAATTGAGGCACGAGGAATGTCTGAGCAGCTGGAGATCGATGCCACCAGCTTCACACCTGCTCTGCATCCATCACAACTCACCTTGCTGAGCGCAAGGGCTGGGCCTAGCTCCATCCCGTGGCAGGTGATGTGCTCTTTGCAGGGAGTGTGGGTGTTCACCGACAGCACAATATTCACTGGCTTAGAGGGAATCCTCCAGGTGAAGATCCAAGCAGGAGCAAGACCCATGAAGTCACAGCTGTGGTCAACCTGAAAGTACCAGGGGAAACTAAACGACCCCAGTGTTGAGAGACTCCTGGTGGCACTTGCTCCTCTGTGCCAAATCCTATATAGGGAGGCTGTAAATTACATCCCCCACCATGCCTCCAGACCACTGTGACCAGGGGACCCAAATAAGAGGAGAGACAGGGCTGAGAAGGGATTCCAGCTTCCCACACTGCTGGAGCAGCCTCAAGGCTGCTGTCGCCTAACATCCTGTATCAGCCCTGGCTCATGCTGGGGAACACTCTGGCGCTTTTCCCCAGCCCCACCACAGCCCCAGTCAAGCCTTCAGCCTCGCCAAGGAGCCTCTGCTCCCATTCCCATCCCTCCTCCCCCTCCGCAGCCTCTGTGGCTCTGGCCCAGGGCAGAACAATGTGGCCGGTCCAAGGCTCTGTGCGGCCCCGTCCCTCAGCCAGCCCTTCGCCAAGTGGGAAATCCGGGGCAGAGTAACCTACTTTCTGTGCTCACAAGGAGCTTCTGTCCCAGCCAAGCAAGGTGGTGAGGACAGAGCTGCCCTCCCAGGGCTCCATGTCCTGGTGGGCTGCTGTGGGCACGGGAGAGGCAGGTAAGGAAGCTCCAACAGGGCAGGATGCTCCCCAGCCTTGTCCAGAGGGATATTGGGGTACTTCAGGTATGGCTGTGATGTTGAGGAATTCCAGGGCTTTGGCTTTGGGGGATTTGTTGCCTACAGCCATCCCAGAGCTGCCTGGGGTTAAGGATGGAATCTCCAGGGAGGCAGGCTCCTGGAACATTTGCGGGAGCTTTGCGTGATGCTCTGCCCCGTGGGGCTGTTTGTGGGGAGCAGCGCTTAGCCCTGGGGGGCTGGTTTTCTGGGTGTTGCTTGTCCCCATGGGGCTGGTTTTGGGGCTGATGCTCAGGCCCACTGTTGGTCCGCACAATCCACAGGAAAAAAGCCATCGTTTTCCTCACCCTAAAGATTTCCCCAGCGAACAAACTCAGGCATCTGAGCACATCTTTCATCCACGTCACCCCCCGGGCACTCAGCCGGAGGAGCAGAGCTCCCTGGTTCCTTTCCCAGCTGCCTCCACCAGGCTTCGCTGCTGTCCCTGCGGGGGTGCGAGGCAGGGAAGGCGGGCGCAGGCGCCCACTGCCCCAACCTGCCGAGGCTCGTCCTCTTCCAGCAGGACTTTCAGGTTCCCGCAGTCCCGGCGGAGCCACGCAGGGCTGGGTTGGGCTGGGCCGGGCTGCAGCGAGCCCAGCACGAGCCGGGCTGGGAGCTTCAGCTGGATCCAGGGCATGGGCCCACGGGAGCCCGGTGGCCACAGCCCCCAGGGCTCAGGCCCCTGCCTGGTGCCCGTGCTGCAGGGGTGGAGGTGAGCGGCTCTGTCCTCGCCCGCCACAGAGGTAATGCCGCTCGCTGGGTACATGGTGGCCATCAGCAAAGGGGTCCTGGGGACCGCGAGGTTCTTGAGCCGTAGCTCTTTCCCCAGTGCTTCTGGCATGAGCTGCAGAAAGAACTGCAAGAAGGGGGTTCCTGTGTGTGTGTTCCACCCCGTTTTGCGGACGCTCTGATAACTGATGGAGCCAGGCAGAGGAATCCCTGATGGGAATGGGCTCTGAGGCTCCGGGAGCAAAGGCATCTGGACACGCCTGTGCCGGGGCCCCCATGCAGGAGCCGCGGAGGGTGAGGGGATATCTCTGACAGTGGCATAGATTTTGGTGCAGGAGCCCCGCTGGTTGAGGGGACATCTCTGACTGCCGGTGTAGCAGTGGGAAGTTCGTGCCCAAACTGGGGGACCACGTGCGGCTGGAGGCGCTGAGGGCACCCCCATCCCCCGCCTCTCTGTCGGGTGCTCCTTCCCCGTCTTGTTTCCGCCGGGTGAAGCGACACGCAGCCCAGCAGCGTGTGCCCTCACCCTTGCCCTCCCCGCAGGGATGGTGGTGGGATCCTCGTGGGGCGCGTCTCCGCCGCCCCCCGCCATGCCCGCCGCCCTTCGCCTGCTCTGTGGGGTGGTGGTGCCGGCTGCCATGCTCTGCGCAGAGCCCCTGCCCCGCGTCACCTTCCCCAGCGGTGAGTACGGCACCGGGAAGAGCTGGGACAGCTGGGGAGGGGGACACACAGCGTGGGAGAGTGTCCATCCGCAGGACTGAGCATCCAGCACCAGGAACCTTGGGCTGCCCCCCATCATAGCCCCCCCTGCCCCATCACTGACCCTCATGTGGGGCTGGAGACAGTGTCAGTGGCCGCAGGTGATGCAGTGGGGGATGAGAGTAGATGGGGCTGCTTGGTACCCAATGGGCCAGATCTAACAGCGATTTTGTCCCCCACCTGGCACCCAGGGTCTGCTCAGGGTCGCCCTGCGGGGAGGAAAGGCTGCTTCTGGAAGGGACAGGGCATGGCAATGTCCAGCTGAAGGGCAGGCAGGTGGCAAAGCAGGAGTTTGGGGGGCTGCGATGTAGTAATTGGGCTGCAAGAGGGTCTGTGCCCCATGGCAGGGTCGTGCCATTCCAGCCCTGACTGCAGTGTCACTTCCCTTTCCCCATGAAGCCATGCCCAGAATTGCAAAAGTCCCCCAGTTTCAGTGCCTGGTAGGGATTAACGAGAATCTGCAGTCCCTGGCTGTGCCCGAGGGCACCCTGGGGGCTGATGACCCCCGTAGTCTGGCACCTTGGGGGCTTGTAATCCCTCCAGGGTGGCACCCTGGGGCAGTGCATCCCCCAAACAGAGCACTGCCCTTGGCCATGGCCCCAAAGCATCACAGACACAGCTTGGGGGAAAATGCACCCCATTTCTGGGGTTCTGCAGCTCGGGGATGTTCAGGTCTTGCAGTAGGACCTGGAGGGGACAGGGGGAGGTGGGGACCTGGAGGGTGAAGGGGTGATGGTGGTGTGGGAGCTGAAAAGGAAGAAGTGCACCACATTTCCTGTGTGAGATGTAACGTGAGCTGCAATGGCAACTGCTGCCACATCCGCACACACAGATGGTGGTGGTGGTGTGTGTGTGACCCCTTGGGTCCTGTCACCTCCTTTGCTCCTGCCAGGGGACCCCCGGCGGACCCTCACCCACTTCAGCCAGGATAACGTCTCCCATTACAACATCTTCCTCCTGGATGAGAGCAAGGACGAGCTGTATGTGGGGGCACGCGACTGGGTGCTGGCCCTCACTGTTGGCACCCCTGGCAGCATCCGTGCCAAAGCCTCGGTGAGCAGCCACCACTTTTGGAGAGGTGGGAGGGGGAGGCGCCTCCGCCTGTTTCAGTTTCCCGGCGGGGCTGCGCTCAACAGCCCAGGAACATCTTCATTCCCTTTGCAGATAATGTGGGGACCCACAGCCAAGAAAACCTCCGAATGTGCTTTTAAGAAGAAGAGCCAAGAGGTGAGATGGCCCTGTGGAAGCTCAGGGGTCCCACAAGGCTACTGGGGTGCTCAGCACCCAACTCTGCGATTTCTCCCTCAGACTGAGTGCTTCAACTTCATCCGAGTCCTGGTGGCCCTCAACCAGACCCACCTCTACGTCTGTGGCACCTACGCCTTCAGCCCTGCATGCACCTACATTGTGAGTGTCCTCCCCAGGAGAGGGTGCAGGGGGTCTCTGGGCAGGCTGCAGTGTTGCTGTGAGGACCCACAAAATATGGTCCCAGAAGTGAATTGCATCATGAGGTGTCCCCAGGATGGAGGTGCTGTGTGTCCTCCTCGAGGGACATCTTTGTGTCCCATCTGCTAAAGGAGCCCTTGGTGATTCTCACTCAGCTGCCAGCAACTCGTCCGCTGGCAGGGAAGCCCCAGTTTTGGGTCCCCTCAGGTGACTCTCTGTCCCTGCTTCAGTTTCCTCTGTGCTGAGTACGTGGTGGGGACTGCCACTCCCCAAAATGAAAATGAGGGAAGGTGACAGGAGCCGGGTACCCCCAGCATCCTCTGTCATCACCCCTTGTCATCATCCCTGCACCCACCTTGGAGACACAGGCCACCCCAAGTCTGCAAGGTATTCCACAGTCATTCCCTACAGATTTGGAGTTGTTTTCACTCCTTTGTCTGATTTTTCTCCCCTTTTCCACAGCACCTGGAAAACTTCACACTGGTGTCCAGTGGCAGAGGACAACCCTTCCTGGATGGGAAGGGCCAGTGCCCCTTTGATCCCCAGCACACCTACACAGCCCTGCTGGTGGGTGAGTATGGGGCCAGTGGCCTCACAGATGGGCACCCATCCCTGGGACGGAGTGGAGGGTGAGGGTGGGGGGTCCTCACTGTGACTCACCCCCCACTCTGTCCCTGGGCAGATGGAGAGCTCTATGCTGGCACCATGAACAACTTCCAGGGCAACGAGCCCATCATCACCCGCTCACTGGGCACCCGCACCCTGCTCAAGACAGATGCCTTCCTCCGCTGGCTCTCAGGTGAGCAGAGGGACGGTCCTGGGGAGGATTCCTGGCAAGGTGCCTGCAGCCCCCCCAGCTCCAGCTCCTCACCCACCTGCCCTGGCTGTGCCTGTAGCCGATGCCGCCTTCGTGGCCTCCTTCAGCATACCTGGGGACGACAAGGTCTACTTCTTCTTCGAGGAGACAGCGGACGAGTTCGACTTCTTTGAGCGGCTCCTGGTGCCGCGGGTGGCCCGCGTCTGCAAGGTGTGTGCAGGGCTGACAGCAGGGAATGATGGTGGGCTGCAGTGGGTGTACAGTAATGGGGGATGAGGACAATGTGGGACAATGACAGGAGATGATAATAGGGAATATAGTTATACTGTGATAGGCAATGATGATGGGGACAATGACATGGGATGATGACACTGTGGGGATGACAGCGATGTCAGGATGTCCCCTGACAATGACAGAGGACAAAGGGAGTAACCGGGTCTTGTCACCTTGGTAATGAGCACCCTCTGGCTCCCACAGAGCGATGTAGGGGGGGACAAGGTTCTGCAGAAGAAATGGACAACTTTCCTGAAGGCACAGCTGGTGTGCTCCCAGGCTGGCCACTTCCCCTTCAACGTCATCCACCACGCCTTTGCCCTGCCCCACCACAACGGCCGCTCTGACTTCTACGCCGTCTTCACATCACAGTGGTGAGTGCCCAGGGGTGTGGAGGAAATCCGGGGGCCTGTGCCCTGCCTCTGCCCACCTGGCTGTCCCTCCCTGTAGGCAGGCAGGCAGGGCGGGCAGCGCCGCCGTCTGTGCCTACAGCCAGGAGGATCTGGAGAAAGTCTTCGAGGGCAAGTACAAGGAGCTGAACAAGGAGAGCTCTCGCTGGACCGTCTACAGTGGCCCTGACATGAGTCCCCGGCCTGGCAGCGTGAGTCCTGCCCACTTTGGGGGACTGGACTTTCCAGGGGACAATGTTGGTCCCCAAAAGATGGGGTCTGTCTATCCCAGTTTGCCCTGTGAGCTCACACTGCAAGTGGGATGAGAAAGGAGAAGGGTCCCTCTGCACCCCACTGATGCTGGCACAGGGCAGTGCAGTGATGCAGCACATCCTCCCCTCCCTGTGCCTCAGTTTCCCACACCAGCACAGACCCCTCTCTCCCTCCACAGTGCTCCATGGGTCCCTCCTCCGACAAAGCCCTCACCTTCATGAAGGACCATTTCCTAATGGATGGAAAGGTGTCACCCATCCAGGGGCAGCCTCTCCTGGTGAGTTCGAATGTCATCTACACGCGCATCGCAGTAGATGAGACTCGTGGCGTCTTGGGGACCATGTATCGTGTCATGTTCCTGGCCACAGGTGGGTTTATATGGGGGTGTACATGGGGTCACCCCTCCAACCCTTCCCTTGGCTCCAAAGCCCTGGTGATGTCCCCTGTGCCCCACAGCCGAAGGTCTCCTGCACAAGGCAGTGGAGCTGCCTGAGGGACCCCACATTGTGGAGAGCATCCAGCTCTTTGCAGTGCCAGAGCCAGTGAAGAACCTGCTGCTGGCCCCAGGGAAGGTAGGGCAGATGTGATCACCCAGACCACCCAACAGCCATCCAACACTGCCACTGGAGGCTCAGGGCAGAGGCTCAGCCCTGCACCTCTCCCTCCCCAGGGCTTCCTCTATGTGGGCTACTCCAGAGGCGTCCTGCAGATCCCACTGGCCAACTGCAGCCTGCACCGGAGCTGTGCCGAGTGCGTGCTGGCACGGGATCCTTACTGTGCCTGGCACAGCCCCAGGGGTTCCTGCCGGCCCTCCCGCTTGGCCACCGAGGACACGTGAGCAGCGGGACCAGAATGGGAAGGGGGTGTGGAGGTCGTTGGGATGCTGACCCCGTTCTCCCGGCCACAGGAGTGCATGGCTGCAGGACGTTGAGAGAGGGAACCCGGTCACCACGTGCCACCGTGGGAGGAGTGCAGCCGTGCCCCGATCCTGGGGGCCCCTAGAGGATGCTGCCATACAGGGTTGAGTATGGGAACACAGTGGGACGGGGCACATGGGGTTGGACAGGGCACATGGGGTGCACCACGTCACCCTGTTCTCTGCACCCACAGGGCTCAGCCCCCAGCTGAACACCGTGGTCCATCTGCTGTGCCCTCGCCACTCTGCACTGGCCACCTACAGCTGGCAGCAGCCCAGCAGTGCCTGGGGGCACACGGTGCTGCTGCCTGACCACACGCTGGTGGTCATCATGCAGCAGGGAATGGCCGGCACCTACAAGTGCCAGGCCACAGAGAACGGCTACACCTGGACCGTGGCTCACTACCAGCTCAGGGACTCTGGCAGGGGGGCACTGGGGGATGGGCTGGATGAGGAGTTGGCCTGGGGGTCCTCGGGCCCTGGCAGTCCCCGGTCATACTGGCCACAGTTTGTCACGGTGACAGTGCTGCTGGCGCTGACACTGACTGTGGCTGCCTGCCTGGCCCTCCTCGCCTACCGTGACCAGCTCAAAGCTCGAAGCAAGGTGCGGGGCTGCAGCACACCCCACAGCCCCCCATCCCGCCACCGGGAGAAGGTGCCCCTCAATGGGGGCCCCAGAGAGCCCCCAGCACCTGGAGCTGCCACCGAGGAGGAGGAGGAGGAGGATGTCGGCTCCCATGCTTGCTGCCTCCAGCTTGATGGGGACATCGATGTTGACAATAACCGACTCCATGTGCCAGCAGGGGACACGGCGTGACACTGCCAGCGGGTCAGGGAGACCCTGGGGAGGGGTGTGAATGTGAAAGGGTTTTTGTTTTATTTAATACACCTGTTTTAACCTAAGGTTCACATTCTGGGGCAGCGGGTGGAACGGGCCCTGGGAGCAGCGGGGATGGGATGGGGCAAGGGAGTGGGATGGGGAGAGAGTGGAGGGCGAAAGAAGGTCATGGGGACAGGCAAATGATATGTCACAGAGGAGAAATGTGGCTGTAGGGTAAGGATGTAGGGTGAGGATGGCTGGAAATGGTAGATGCTGACACTGGTATTAAAGTCATGAAAAAATCCCAGGTTTCATGAAAGCCTCAACATGGGGCAAGCTGTGCTCAATGAGCTCCACAAGCCAACTCCAGGGGCACTCACCCTGCACTGTCACCGCCCCTCAACGCTGCATGACCCCGACCCTTGGGTCCCCGGGGTGGCAGAGCCCCCCACTTCTCCCTAGCTGTCCCCCCACCCCCCATCCGATTTCCGATGTCTTTGATCTGCCTTTTGAAAGTCAAACCAGCTGTAAATTTTCCTGCTCTTTGCTTTTTTATTAAAAAAAGGAAAACTCAATGCCTCACGTTGCTGGGTCCATGGAGTAGCCCCGGGGGGCTTTTGGGCAATGTGCATGGGGGCGTGCAAGGCCGGGGCCAGGGAAACACGTGTGCGCACGCGTGGGTGTGCAGGGACACTCGTTCCAGCGTGCACCACGTGCAGCGAGGGGCAGGGAGAGTGGAGAGTGGGGGACACACGCGCCCATCACTCCTTTCCCCTGAGTGCATCCGTGCTGTTTTCCGCTCCTCGCCGCGCCCCGGCCGCTCCAGCACGCAGCACACGGGCCCCGCAGGCGGCCGCTGACGGCTGCTGGCCCTTTAAGAGCCGTAATTCGGCGCGGTTCCTTTAAGGCGTCCGCCCCTTCCCTGCCGTCCTGTTTACTGCGGGCCGGAAGCGCGTGACCACTTCCGGTGCAGCCTCTGCCCGTTCCCAAGATGGCGGCAGCGCTCGGGTGCTGACGCCGCCGGTCACTTCCGGCCGGGGAGCGGCCATGGGGAGGTGCGGCCGGGCCGGCCGGGGGGTCGTCGGGGGTCCCTCCCGCCGGCGTGAGGTGAGGGGGTGCCGGGGCCGGGGCCGGGCCTGCGGCGGGCCGGGGAGAGGCCTGGCCTGGGCCAGCAGCGGCGCGGCAGGGCCTAACGGTGTTGGCCCGGCCCGGCCCGGCGCCGGTGCGGGCGGCGGAGACTGAGCGGGGGCCTGGGCAGGTGTGGAGGCTGCGCTGCTGGACGGGAGGGCAGCAGGTGGGGGAGAGGGGGCGGCTGGCGAGGGGTGCACGTAAGCCGGGATGGAGGAGGGGGTTGGTTTGAGACCTACTTGGCCTTGAAAGACCCCGGGAGAAGGGGCCGGAGGGTCCCGGGGCAGACTGGGAAGGGCTCGGCGAGGCCTCCCGGGACAGACAGGGCTTGAACGGCTGCCGGGAAAGGAGCTGGAGGATCCAGGGATCCTCAGCAGGGCAGAGGCCGAAGTTCCCTCCGGAGTGAACGGCGAAGTGGCCAGAGCCCCCCGGGGCTGCAGGGGTGAAGCTGGCTTGGGGACAGTGGGGACACCTCCGCGACACGGAGCCGCGGTGCTGGGGACGCGTCTGGCCCGGCAGTGACCTTGAGCGGATCCCGGATCGAGCTCTGCCGCTGTTCACGGCCTCAGAGCACGGCCGAGCTTTTGCGGTGCAGGGATCAGAGTTGGTGGCTTCGCTCAGGAGGTAGGAGGGTGTGGGGGCTCAGCCCGCGGGGCTGAGGGCGCTGGGGAGAGAAGTGCTGTCCTCAGAGTGCCGCTGCCACATCGGTTCCAGAGCGACAGCTGCTCCGGAGAGCTGCGGGTTGTCTGCGGGGCTGGGGTAATGGCCAGGACTCCCTCGCGGGTCTGTATCCGCTCCCCCCGGGGTGAATTTAAGGAATGAACAGTCGATTAGCTTAGCTCGGTGAATTACGTATGGTGCTAATAACACCAAGGTCAAGGTTCGATCCCCCAATGGGCCGTTCACTCAAGAGTTGGACTCGATGGCCCTTCTGGGTCCTGTCCAACTGAGACTATTCTGTGATTCTTTGCTGAAGGAGGTGCCAGGCATCAGCGCTGACTGGACGGTTCCCAGGCGGGTGCTGAGGCATTAGCATGCTGGGCAGGACACATCCCTGGCCAGTGCACACAAAGGCCCTGTCTGTGTTTGCCAGAGAATCATCTTTAGTTCCAGCTGCAGCAAAGAGCAGTTTGGGGATCAGACTGACATGGTGGCATTAAAAAGACAAACTGGGGGGTATTTATACTAAGTTGAGTTCTGTATATAGGGAACTGAGGCTGTGCCCAGACGAGAGAGCAAGAGCAGGGACACCCTGCTTGGTATCCCCTGCTTGGGTTTCCAGGCAGGAGTTCAAGAAATGCTGTTTTGTGCATGGTGGGAAGGAACCACCGAGGGATGGTTTTGGCACGGAAGCTGCTCACAGATCTGTGAGCTGTGGTGTTCTTGTACCTTGTTTTGAAGGGCAGGTCAATTCTTAGGAGATGTAGCCATTACTTTTGTATCAGTCTCTCTAAAATTACTTGGAAGATAATCAAAGAGTTGCTTAATGAGTGTGATGGGATCTTTGCCCTGATCAAGGCCTTGGTCTAAATTTCTGGAAGATTAAATGCTCTGAGCAGAACTCTTTATGTTGACAAAGTAAGAACTGTGGCCATGCTGGTCATCCCTGGAGCTGCCAGGATCCCTTCCTTCTTCCACACAGGAGGGACTTTGAGGCACTCAAAGTCCATGGGGTTAAAGTGACTTTGTCTAACTCAGATCCCGAATGAGAGGAGTTATTGGTGAGAGTCCAGAGGAAGTACAGCTGTTTCCTCAAGAAGTTGTGGCTGAAATTCTAAACCCAAAGCCCTAGTGCACATAAAACTAAAGCTCGAGAATACTTCATTACTATTATTATTAGTAGTAGTATTAGTATTATTTTGTTTTTCATATTGCAGTAATGAGAATGGTTTTTGCAGGCAGCCCTTTCATTTATGGGGAGCTCAATTCCATCCCTGGATGGCAGAGGAATTTGGAGTATGGACTAAACCCTCAGGCTTCGTGAGGGAATCATATTGGCTGGACTCTATTTTTTTTTTTTTTAATGAAATATTAAGCTAGTGGGACTTCTAACAAGAACCAAATCATGTTTTCATAGGTGCTGTGTGTACATAATTCCTGTGCAGGAAGCTTTGTGTGTCAAATCATGTCAATATTAGCAAACCCAGTAAGGCTGTAATTGTAACTAAAGCAATCCAAGCTTTGTTTAGCCAAGCTGTGGTGTTTGTTGTGCCTTAACTGCCAAGGCAACTGCCTGGAAGGGCGAAGTGTCACTCTTTACAATGGTAAAGATGTTGGACCCAGGTGCCCTTGGGTGTTTTTAACTCCTCTGCCCGTCTGCAGGAGCTGTGGTAGCCTGTAATGCTGTTTGCTCCTGTTCAGCAAATATTTTGTTGGCCAACGGGCAATGAAATGTTCATGTAATGGGACACCTGCCCCTGATCTGCCACAGTTTCAAAACTGTAATTTCTTCTCTGTGCCAGAGGTAAACAACTTCCAGTTGTTTTGTTACTGTGTTTCTAACAGAACGTCTCTGGCCTGTGTGAGTTCATGAATTCTGAAGTGTTGAGACATTTCCCCAGGAATCACAGACTGGTTTGGGTGGGAAGGGGTCTTAAAGCCCGTACCATCCCACCCCCTGCAGTGGGCAGGGACACCTTCCACTATCCCAGGTTGTTCCAAGCCCTGTCCAGTCTGGCCTTGGACGCTGCCAGGGATGGAGCAGCCACAGCTTCTCTGGGCAGCCTGTGCCAGGGCCTTACCATGTTGACAGGGAACAATTTCTTCCCAATATCTCATCAGGTCAGCCATTCTGCCTGTCTCATCACTCCAGGCCCTTGTCCCAAGTCCCCCTCCCTTGGAGCTCCTTTTAGGCACTGATGTTGTGGCTTGGAAATATAAAGTGCCCCCAAATCGGTGTGTGGTCGTGACTGCCCATCCCTTTGAGTTCTCACTTGGAGAATCTGTTTTCCAAACTCAGGTTTTGGCTGCCTTGTTCCTGTACCTGCTTCTTGCTCTAGCTCTTCTCTTCAGCAGTTCAGCTCGTGCCTGGCCACACGCTTCCAGTACCCATTTGCCAGCACCTGGAATACAAGTTATGATCCAGCTGTAGTCAAGCCTTCAAGCCTTTCCCAAAAGTTCAGCCACCCAAAGAGCCCAGGGTTTTTATTAATTTGATGCAGAAATTAAGTCCTTACAGGCAGTGAAGTGGTCCATGTTGTGTTGGGCGATTCTCTGAGCTGCCCTTCTCTTGTTGCCTGGCCCTGTGCATAGGTTCCCTTAAGCCAAGCTTGGTTAATCATACAGCAAGTTAATTTACTAATTACAGCAGCTGAAAGTACCAGGAGCCTGGTTGTGGAGAAGCAGTTGGTGCCTGCTGGGACATGGTGATGAGCAATGGGGCTGGGGGAGGCTAAACCAGCCCCTCCCTCCTCATCCTCCCCATTCCTGGTGCTCTGAGCACAGCCAGCAGTGGAAGTGGGGTTATCAGACCAGAAGCAGCAATGGAGTGTTGGAAGGGAGGGTGAACTTTGCTCATGTAGCTGACAAGCAGCTCAACAGAGACATCCTGGGCTGTGATTTAACCCTTTCTTTTCAGGGTCTTGGTCATCAATGTGGAGACTCTCCCTGGCTGTTTTGCCTTGTTTTCCCATTGTTGTTCCTCTTTTCACCTTCTCATCACCCTCCATCTTTAGGAAGATAGGAATGGAAGTGCCCAAAGAAATGTGTCTAATTCATGCAGGGAATCTAGGAACACAAAAGGACTTGTCACTTTCTCCTTTGTACAGATCCGGGAACTGAAAAGTGATGTCTTGACAGCTGGGAGCATCACAGACCTGGAATGACTGGGGAGAAGCTGCTTTGGTTGGCCATCCCTGACCTTGCGTGTCCATTAAAAGGTGTGTGTGCTGCGGGAGTGGTGCTCATCTGCTGGCTCTCAGCCTGCTTCCCAAAGTGTGGGAGCTTTCCTTTCCCACAGAGCAGTCTGGGCTGTGGTGAGAGCTGCCACGTGTGCCAGCTGCTGCTGGAGCTCAGAAAACAGCCATGGTGACATCAGGTGTCACCATCAGCCACATGGTAGGGCCCTGCCTCTGGAGGTCACAGTCCCTCTGCTCAGCTGGCACAATGTTGTGCAAGGGCTGAGTCTCAGCAAAGTCTGAGGTGATGTGGGTGGTTGTAGCGAACAGGGCTTTGTCCTCTACCCAAGGGGTCTCTCATTTCAGGTGCCAGCACTTGCAGTCTAGTTGGTCAAGGCTGGAAGGCTGGGTCTGGATCTGCCCCGTACCTTTGAGTTCTGGACCTCTCCTGCCTGACCCCAAGGAGCCATGGAGGACAAACGCAACATCCCCATCATTGAGTGGGAGCACCTGGACAAAAGGAAATTCTATGTGTTTGGGATTTGCATGACTATGATGATCCGGGTGA